TGGGGCCCGGGCCGGGGCTTGGCGCACACCAGCTCGTGGTGGGAGGCAGGTGAAGGGGTGGGCGACGGCTGAAACGGCTGCCGCGGAGGTGGGGGCCTGGAGGGAAGCGGGCGCGGGGTATGCGTTTCTAGGCTGTAAGGGAGAAAAGAAAAGGGTTTTCACCCTTTCCGTTACTGAAACCATCCAACACGGCCCCCAAGGTCGGCGGACTGCAAGCAAATCTCAAACCTTAAACCCTATACCCTAAACCCTAAACCCTAAACCCGAAACCTTCTACCCTAAACCCCAAGCCCCAAACCCACCGCATAATGGCCAGCACAATAATTGGTGGTTGTTCAAATGCTTGTCCCCAAAAAGGCCATAATGTAGGTTCCCTGTTTGGTAAGGATCCCTTTTTAAGGAAGTGTATTCCTGATGTTCCCTTCTTTGCAAGGACCTTTAGAAGAACCCCCAATTGCCAGGCGCAGCACCTGAGATGGCCGCCGGGTTGCTACCCGTCGAGGCGCCGCAGGCAGCCACTGGGTTCAGGGGTCCATATCCCCTTAAAGTGGATTTATAAGGGTTTATATAGGGTAATATAGGGTTTCCCAATAATTCCCTTTAAAGGGGGTTTATAGGGGTTTATATGGAAGGAAGCTTTTGCACTTTGAGATGCAGGGCTTCGAGGGCTGCAAGCTAGCGGATGAGAGCTCCAGCTTCTAGCTGCCACGGTTCCCAGTTATGAGGGATAAACAAGGGCTTTTGTAGGGTTTAGGTGGTCAGGGGTGTTGGGTAAGCCCCTTTTCCTTCTGAAGGTCATAATTTTTGTTAAAAGGGCTGCATTCAACAAGGGGGAGCTTTTTAGATGAAGGTTTGAGGGGGATCCTCGTGGTGTCCCTCACGCTTTCTGCGCGATGGCCTGGATGTGAAGAGCTTAGGGTTTAGGTTTAAAGTTTAGCTTGCTGGAGGTGTGATAGTTTACATACGGATCCTAATATATTTGAATCCTTGGTATGGGGATCCCAAACTGGTAATCAGAATTTTGGAAACCCATGTCTTTCTGTCTTCTGGGCTGTAGATGGAGTTATTCATTAGGTCCTACATACCTGGTGTTCCTGAGGAATTCGAATCCTGGCACCGACACCTCCCTCTACACTCTTCCTTAACCCCAAACCCTGAGCCTTGAGCCCGGCACGCTCCCACGCGATGCTCCGGCTCTCCTGCTTCACATACCGGGGTTCAGGAGGGAACTTGGGAAAATATTACATAGGGCTTATACAGGGATTATATTCCCTTATTCCCAACTAAGAACCAGTCAGTTAATGATTTGAGGAGGCCCCGTCACTTCCCGTAGGATTTCGGGGGCCGTTGCATAGGACAGGATGAGGGTGGATGAAACTACTTGGAGTGCCAGGGATCTAGGGTTTAGGGTTTAGGCTATATAATCCCCACATAACCCTATAAAGGTAAGTGAATGCATAATCTCTATAAGCCAAGGGGGTGGCTCCCAGAATTGGGGTCCCATTTTGGCACCTATAACCCTTAGATTTCAGGTGCCGTACTGTAGTAGAACTTGTAATTGCTAGGGGCCCTTATTGTGAGTAAAACTCATATAGTAACCGCAGTTATCCCCAAGATTAACCCAGTAACCCGGCCCCCCTGACCAATGCACCCTAGACTGTAAATAGTTTTTGAAAGTGGTTTTCAGGTGGGTAGTCAGCAGGTGGGTATCCTTACGTAGTCTACACTCCTTAAAGGGTGTTATATGGGGGGGTTATATAGGGGAGTATTACAGGGCTTATTAAGGGGGGTACTAGGAGTTTAAACTATGGCTCACATATCACTTGTATAAGTACAGGGACACTAGGTCTATGTAAGGCTTCTATTGGGAAACTATCCACCTCTAACTTCCGTAGAACTACAGGGTTTAGGGTTTAGGGTGTAGTTTCCATTCTCTTTTCCATTCTTAGTAAGACCTCCTGAACCTCCCCGATCTCGTGCGCCAGGAGTGGCTGCAACTCATCGCTTTTTTCTTTGGGCGTCTAAACACGATGTCATAGGTCAGACTCATACGTTCTATGGTTTCAGGTTCAGGGGTTTGGGGGTTTAAGGTTTAGGAGTTTAGGGGTTTTGGGTTTAGCCCCGACTCCGCAGCCTGAATCGCGCCGAAAGCCCTAAAGAACCCACTTGAATCCCAAGAAAAAACCAGGAGCTTAAACATTCCAGCTTCCACTTCAGTATACATTATCTTTGTCATTTGATTCTCCAATACTCCAACGAAGTGATGATAATATTGATGATGGTAATAGTAGGATTAAAGCAATAATAGCAATTGTAATACTCTTCGCAGTAAGAAGAATAAGTTGCAACAAGCAGGAGACGCCCATAGCTGCCAATGGGCTTCTTTCAGCGGGTCTGCATTCCTGCGCGCGGGCGCCAAGGGGCAGTTCAGGGTTTATGCATTCTAGCATGTACTTCGGTACCAGGACAGCAGTCCTACTAGAATCCTTCCGGGGATTCGCGCATTAAAGAGGTACCCTAAACCCTAATCCCTGATCCCTAAACCGGTTTACAGCATCCCGTGCCGAGTCGTGTCCCCGCAGCCGCTGCAAACTGTCCGGCAACCTTCAGTCCTGGAGATCTGCGCTTTTGACTTTGGAATACGGTTTAAGGGTTAGGGGTTCAGGGGTTTGGGGCTTAGGGGTTAGGACTTACGGTACCAAGCTTGAAAGCCTTGCAAAGCCTTTGCCACAACGGGCTTGATCTGAATAGACTGGAGTTCGGAGGCGAGAAGATCTGCAACTAGTATGGTGGCATCATGATAGTACTCGCTAAGTCTCTACAAGTCAAGCTTTTGGTAGTTCATGTGACCTACACACCCACGATGTACGGTTGGTGATCCCATTTTCTATCCTTTCCAAACAAGACTTGAATGTGTTCCCCAGGCACAACTCCCTAATTCCTAGACCCTAAAACCCCAAACCCTGCCCCCTAAACCCCCTCAACCCTAAACCCTAAACCCTTACCTTCCCCCAAGCCCCGCATTGCAAAGTAGTATAGCCCTAGACATGACAAGCTGGCAAGTCCCACCAGCCTCCAAACCATGTTTGCTTGGAAGGGCGTGGGGGGACTTGGTACCTGTGTTAGGGTTTAGGGTTTAGGGGTTTAGGGTTTACGGTTTAGGGTGATCGCCAGGGTTTTTCTTCTGGGCTTACAGGGCGTATAGGTAACTTGCTTAGTCCCCTTGACCCTCGGAATATTGCATGTTGCTTAAAAAAGAACACTTGCCCAGGTGGTTCTGTTGACAATGTTAGCCTTGCCAAGGGACCCTTAACAGTGGACATAGGGGTCCCTCTTGTAGTTTAGTATAGTTCCATATACAGTCCCCAACAAGTACTGCATGTCCATTAAATGATGTAGGATAGCTTCCATAAACCCTAAGCCCTAAACCCTAAACCCCCATTAAATTGTGTAGGACATATTGATTGTAGCAGCTGAGGTAGGTCTATTGACGGCGCCAAGGAGTGGTCCAGGGCCGGGAACTTATCGTCGTGGGAATTTCTCTTTAAGGATCCAAGTACCCAATAATTTGGCACTTGGGGATTTTGGTGATGGCAATTGTTGTACAAGGCTTTGGGCCCTAAACCCCCGCCCCGAAATCCTAATCCCAAAGCCCTAAACCTTAAACCCCAAACCTTAAACCCTAAACCTTGAACCTTAAACCTGAAACCCTAAACCTTAAACCCTAAACCTAACACCCTAAACCAATTATTGGGTACTCGGACCCTTAAGGTTGGTTTTGGGGGACGTTGCTTCATGGTTTAGGACGTGTGGTTTGGAATCTTTGGAAGGACTTGGAGCAGTTCGTTCTAGGACTTTATTGGTGGTTAGTAAGGAAGAAGGGAATATAATCCCCATAATTGCTATATAATCTAGGTACCCCAGGAGTCCCCTTCTAGCCTTCTTAATTTTGGAGTCGGCTACTTAAAGCTGAGCATCATCAGGAAAAAGGGTACCCCTACTGTCAAGGGGTTACTGTGGAACCTGGGTTAGCTGCTTCTACACCGTATCGCCATGTTTATTTCAGGCTTTGGCGTTGGCATAAATATGCTTGTATGAATTCTGGAGCCCCAACGCCTCAGCCGTTGGACCCCAACTTGGTCAAACCCTTAGCCCAGGGCCCAAGTAGAAGTAGGGTTTGCGGTTTGAAAGGAGACCCAAAATAAGAAGGAAAAGAGTACTACTGGGGCACCTAGTATCAAATATGTCTGAAGTCGGAGGCGTACATTTACCCTCGCCAGAAAACGGTTGAGTTCCAACGGTGGGGCGGGGGGCTCTGCTTACATTCTGAGGAAGGGCGACTTTCTTGCTGTTTGTCAGGCATACTCTGAAATCGTATCGTCACATGAGCCATTGTCTAAACTCCTAGTATCCCCCTTAATAAGCCCTATAGTAGTTCCCTGTATAATCCCCTAATTATATAACCCCCTTTAAGGAGTTTAGACTATTGCTCACATGCCTTCGACTTCTCCTCTTTTTTGGATCCCTCGCAATGAAACCTAGGGTAAGGCTATCGAAGTAGACGGTTAAGATCGAAGTCGCAAGTATGGCCAGGTCATTACTTCGAGGGTGAAGGGGGCTTAGCTGGTATATGCATTAGCCCTACAATCCCCTATAAGACGTTACAAAGTCCCCCTGAGCCTGTAAGTAGTTGCTGACCCCGACCACATGCTCAAGAACCTCAACCCTAAACCCTATAAGGCCTAAATCCCAAGCCCTAAGCCCTAAATCCTAAACCCAAATCCTAAGACTCTAAACCCTAAATCCGAAACCCTAAGCACCCTAAATTCTAAACCCCAAGCCTTATACCCTAAATCCTAAACCCTAAACTGAGGTTGGCCGTGACGCTAGGGCCACAGCCCGCCCTGGACGCCACTCACCGCGTGCTTGGGCCTGGTGCCCCCAGATTCGGGGAGCGGAGGGATGATTATTAGGGTTTAGGGATTAGGGTTTAGGGTTTCAGGGTTCAGGGTTTAGGGTTTAGGGTTTAGATTTAGGGTTTAGGGTTTAGGGTTTATAGGGTTTAGGGTTCAGGGAAAAGCGTTTAGAGTTCAGGGAAACGGGTTTAGGGTTCAGGGAAAAGGGTTTACGGATTAGGGTTTCAGGGTTCAGGGTTTAGGGTTTACGGATTAGGGTTTAGGCTTCAGGGTTTAGGGGGTTTCCCCTTCAAAGGCCATATGGGGGGGTTATACAGGAATTATATTCGGAATATATAGGGTTTACAGGCAGTTATTCAGGCATTTATAGGGCTCAGGGTTTCCCAGCATTAGGAGTACTGTTTTGTGGGTTCCTATAGTAGGTATAATCATAATATATTGGGGTCAACCTATGTTGGGAAACTACCATGTATGAAATCTTGCACCATGTTATGTTCCCAAACCCCCCCCCGTTTGCCGCCATTTGGGGGCCGGGGGGTGCAGCATCTGTACTGGTAGGTTTGTGATGTACTGCGACGCCTAAGCGATGAATAGCCAGCATGAGGTACATCATCCAGGAAGCAGTGTTTTCGAGTTAGCTTGTAAGCTGAGACTGCTACTCATGCAAAAGAGGGAACCATGAGGCCCAGAGCTTTTGTAGTTGTAACAGCAGAAAGCATACTCAGACTCTGCCTGGCGGCGACCTGCTGGTTAGAGCATGAGGTTAAGGGTTTGTACACTCCCCACTGACATGGAAGCCCATATAGTCCCCTTTTTGAAGGACTGTAGTCTTTATAGGGCCCTTTGTGGGTTTCCATGTTAGTTTCCGGGAGTGTAGGTGTTTGTTGGAAGCACTGGCACAATGCAGAAAACTTGTTTGTCAATCGGCAAGCGGTCCAGCAATACTCCAAACCTTACAACACAAAGCGCCAGATGATTTTCTTCAAGCCATGCACCCTAAACCTTCAGGTAAACCCTAAACCCCATAGCAGTTTCCATGTTCTTTTCCATTATCCCTATATAATCCCCTAAACCCTTTTTGTTATCATTACAGGCAATGATCCAGGGAATTCGGGTAAGCCCATGGATGTGAAGGCGCGGAAGCTTAACAACTTCCAAACAAGAATCCCACATGGTTAACATAGAGGTGGTACATCTTGGACCTTAATCCAAAATCAAAACGCAACACCAAGACGCATACGCTACTCCCAAATCCTAGGCCATAGACCTTAAATCCTAAGCCCTAAACCCTACATTCTAAACTCTAAATCCAAAGCCCTAAAGCCTAAATCCTAAGCCCTAAATCCTACATTCTAAACCTAAATCCAAAGCCCTAAAGCCTAAATCCTAAGCCCTAAATCCTACATTCTAAACCTAAATCCTAAGCCCTAAATCCTAAATCCTAAGCCCTAAATCCTGCATTCTAAACCCTAAATCCTAAGCCCTAAACCCTAAACCCCCCAAGGCCCATCCTAGTCGGACGCCGATGCTTTCGGCGGATTGAAGCGGTGGCGCCGCTGTCGTTGGAGGCAGGAGCTGACAAATCAATGCTGAGGGTGTAGAATTCAGGGTTTAGGGCTTTAGAATGTAGAATTCAGGGTTTAGGGTTTTAGGGTGTAGGTTCAGGGTTCAGGGTTGAGGTTAGAAGGGTTAAGGGCCCAGACGAAGGGCCCATGGCTTCAACTGTAGACCTAAGTCTGAGACTGTAGTCCCTGGGTCATCGGTGGGAGTTTGGGCTTTACGCATGTGTTTCGTGGAGAAAGGCTAGTGCTTGGTCTAGGATTGGGACTTCGATGTCTGCTTCGTGGCACGCAAAAGACATTTGAGGTACATAAGCTCTGCAAATCCCAATTCTGTAGCTTTTAGTCTCTAACCCCTAAACTCCAAACCCTAAACGGCCCGAAGCCCTAAACCCTAAGCTCTGGACCCTAAGCCCCAAGCCTGAAGCCCTAACCGCTCACGTTCTCAGCAAGCATTGAGCACCAATGTCGACCCCAATACATAATGCTCCTCATTTTAGGGACCCCCAAGAGGAACCACTTAATTTTAGGAAACCCCAATTTCAAGATGGACAGAACCACGCAACAACCATCGCTGTTCTTAGGGTGCCCATTGACAAAACGTTGTTTCTGTTCTTCAGGGGCCACTTGAGCCCTAAACGCTGACCCCTAAACCCAGGGTTTAGGGTTTAGAGTTTGGGTTCAGGGTTTAGGGTTTTGCGTTTGGGTTTAGGGTTTAGGGTTTAGGGTTTGGGTTTAGGGTTTAGGGTAAGCTTAAACCCTAAACCCTAGCCACTCGCCCCTGGTCATTTCATCATGGCGACCCTGCTCTGAGATTCGGGGGTCGTGAGCTTGGAAACTAGGAACTGGACACCTTTGGGACATTGAGATGAGGGTTTAGGATTTATAGTCCCCCTTAAGTAGATAGAATATGGCTTTGGGTATACTATAATAAGATCCCCATACACCCCATATCCTATCTACTTAAGGGGAGACTACAGGGTGAAGGATGTAGGGTTGAGGGTTTAGGACATTCTCCTGGCTTTCGTGTATTCAGAAGACTGCTCGTCTTGTTCCCGTGGATCCCTAGAGCCCTTCAAACCCTTAGCTCTCACCCTTGAAGCCCTTGAGGGCTAAGGGTTTGGGGCTACGCCCTCTGCCGTAATCTCTGAAACTCTAAACCCTGAATGCGCAGCCCTTAAATCCCTGAACCCTAAACCCGTAAGCCCCCTCTGACCATGATAATCCCCTCCACTCCCCCTAATATTAAACATATTAAACACCCCCACCCCCCCTGATAGATACTCCCAATATATACTGTAAAATACAACCTCAGAACTGGAATCCCTTACAATCCTCAGAAGGCGCGGAAAATACAGCAGAAAGCACCCAAACACCCGATTCTATTTATGTAGGCTCCTACGCGCACTGACCATATACACCCCGTAGAACCCAAGTTTCCCGTATTCATTGTCAATTCGATTCTGCGTCCTCATTAATTCACCATGCGGGCTTCTATGTTCCCTGGCTTGTAAACCCATTCCCTAGTAACTTTCCAAGTGATTTTACAGGCCATCCCGCGAGTGCCGGTTTTCTTGCAGTTGCCGAAGATGGAGGCCGATGCAGAGTATGTTTGCCTGGGAGAGAGTAACGGGGGCTGTAGGAATATGAATATGCATATGTATATATGTACATAGATATATATATATAGACATATGTATATACAGATATAGATTCACAGACAGATAGATATACGGCTTTCGGTTGGGACCCCTGGGGATGTTTAAGGATTACACTGGTCTTTTCGGGGATTTTGTAGCGATCATTTTGAGAACCCTCTCCCCAATGTGAGGGTTGGACTGGACACTGCAGGGAACATCAAGATGTCTGCTGGTCTATATAGTACGGATATGTTGAGCCAGGAGTATTTAGAAGTGTGGGGGCGGGGATCGGGTTTACGGATATGAGGCGGGATCCCAATACAGATCCCAAAATACGTTTGCCCTTTTTCTCGGCAATTTCAAGAAGGTACCCTTAATTTCGGGAAACCCACATTCTTGCATGTAGCATGCGCGGGTTCAAATATCTATTGGTCTTAATCCAAAAGTAAACCTTGAACCCTAAACCCTGAGCTAATAAATAAATTGCAATAAGCCGCAAGCCCTACATTAGCTATTATCAATATCAGCCTGACTAAGGAACTGTTAACAGAGGACAAAGGGGTCCCTCTTGTAGTTCGTATAGTCTCTAGCAGGGGCCCATGTCCAGTATTTGTCTAAGTAAGAGTGTGACTGTAGCTGACATAGACCTGACCCTATACCCTAAACCCTAATGTAGACCCCTGATTAATAACCCCCTCCGTTTAAGGGCCTTAGTATCAGGATCCCTATTATAATCCCTATTAATAGGGAGGGGTTTACTGGTCATGGGTCTGGGTTAAACCATATAGACCCTAAAACCCCAAACCCTAAATGCTAAATCCCTAAACCCTATAGACCTGAGCCCAGGAGGAGATTCCTGGGGCGCCCCCTCCTCCTGTTCGCATCGGACTCATCCTTTGGTTTAGGGATCGGTGTTTAAGGTTTAGGGTTTAGGGTGTAGGGTTTAGGGTTGGGGCTCAGTCAGGGAGTTTCCCTTTGTACCCTTAGGGTTTGTACCCTTGGGTTTGGGTCCCTAAACCATGGAAGATGACGTTAAAGGTATAAACTTAAAGTCTTTGACTCAGAGTAGCGTAGGGGCTCAGCGTTTGGAGCTTTCGTGTGCCATTCGGGAATAGCGTGGGGCTGAAGCTTCTGCTTTACAGAGTAGGTTGGCAAATATTTGTTTAATTCTATTTCCAATCCCTATATAATCCGTACAAAGCCATAAACATTCAACTTGTGTAGGGCTCCAAGCCTACCCTGTGGGTTTAGTGTTTAGGGTTTAGGGGCTTAGGGTTTAGGGTTTAGGGGTTTAGGGTGTAGACTTCAGCAGATTGTTCTGCTAGTCTGTTGGGCGGCACGCCCTTGAACCTGGTATCCGAACCCAAGACGGCAGCGTGGCCATGAGCAGGTTTTGCGTTGCGCTTTAATCCCTAAACCCTGAACCCCAAAAACCGTAGACCCCAAACCCTTAACCCTTCAACAACAGAAACCACTGCAATGAGATTCACTTTGGTGAGCAGTCTAGCTTTAGAAGCGCCAGCATGCTTCTTGGGAAGCTAATCTGACACCCCATCAGGGGGAATCAGAGAATGCGATGGGTTTGGGATTTAGGTAACAGGATGGGTTCAGGGCTTACGGTTTAGGGTTTTGGGTTTAGGGTTTCGGAATTGAACTCTCGATATAGGTTCCATTCAATTGGTTTCCGTTAACCTGATGAAAAGGACACTTCCAAATATTACCGGAGAACCTCTACACAGAGGGGAGTTTGAAAGTTTTTCTGGCTTTATTACACCTCATCCCTATATGACCCCTATAGAGCCACACCTAGCCTAGTACAAGAGGCGGGCCCACTCCTGTAGGGATTGCGGGGCAACAGGATCCTACATCCTTGGGGTATGTAAACTGCGTGGAGTTTGTGCAATACCCGTATTTACCATGACCTGGAGGGGTAGGTAACCTAGTCCCTACCCTAATAAACCCTAAACCTTAAACCTTAAGCCCTAAACCCCAAACCCGAAGCCCTAAACCCTAAACCCTACATCCTAAACCCTAAGCCCTAAACCCTGAACCCTAAACCCCCAATACTCCTTATCCTCCGTGGTATACCCCCCTTAAAGGACCTGGTAACCTCCCTCCGTAACGGTCTAAACTCCTTAAAGGGTGTTACTTAGGGGACTATATAGGGAGTATTAGTTACATGGCTTTTTAAGGGGGATACTATCAGCTTAGACTATAGCTCAATTCTTGGGAGAGACTCCGGTGGCAACTTTACAAGCGTATAGCTTCTGGTTTGACACCAGGGTGCCTGTTGACCGTTGGTAGAGGATTTAGCTGGGCAATTTAAAGCGACCTCACCCGACCTCACCCTAAATGGTGGTTAAGCCCTGAACCCTACACCCCAAAACCCTAAACCCTAAACCCTGAACCTACATAGCGAATTGTACCACAGTTTCTATTTTCTTTTCCATTATGCCTATAGAACCCTAATATATACCCTAGATTATCGCAATAACCCTAGCACCCTAAACCCTAAAGTTATAACGTAAGCCCATGTTCTAACTCGTTGGGACTTAGCTTGGACCTTAGACCCTTAACCATTTGGGATTCCCTTGTACTGCTATTATAGGTACCTAAGGGCTAACCCTTAGGAGGGGTCCTAAGTGCCACGTAGATACTTATTTGGGTTCACTGGATGGGTCCTGGTATGGGTCGGGTGGGGGCTCGCCAAAATCATGGTCTCAATTTTTTATGGCGAGACCTCGATAAACATCCTTCAAGAAAGGGACCCTCACGGTTTAGGGATTTATTTAGGGTTTAGGGTTGAGGGTTTTCAGAGTTTAAGGATTTAAGAGTTTCGGGTTTAGGGTGGCGTTCTTGCCGGATCCACCGTGTGCAACAATCCTCAAGTAGGAAGAATGACAGGGGGTGCTGGCGTTGTCTTGGCAACCTCGAACCCACAGCCTGCCCTGTGTTAAAGCCACACCCACTGAATTGAGCTACCCATATGAGCTATAGTCTAAACTCCTTTAATCGAGGGGGCTATATAGGGGAGTATTAAGGGGGCTACCAGAGGAATACTAGGAGTTTAGACCCTAAACCCTAAAACCCCATATTATAGGAGTTACTAAGGAGGATACTAGGAGTTTAGAACCTCAAAATCTTCAGCCCTGCAAATCAACGCTTCAAACACTCTACCAAAAACCTCTGTGCCCTGAGACCGGAGATAACCAGAAAGTCCCACGCCCAAGCCTTTGGTCTCCATCCCCACGCCTTACTTGGAGGGTCAGGGGGCTAAGAATGGAAAAGAAAATGGAAACTACCATATACAAATATACAGATATATACATATATAGAGGGTAGTTAAGGCTTAGAGTCTAGGGTTTACGGGGATTTAGAAAGGAGATTCCTACGGGAGATACCTTGGGTTGCCATTCAGTTTAGAAGGGTACTAAGTCCCTCTGGCCCTCCAAGCACAGGACAACAAGTTACAACATGGACATGGTGTGACTTCTGCTACGTTACCCTCCTCCTCGGTCTGGGTTTGCAGGATACTGTTTAGGGTTTAGGGTCCAAGTTTCAGACTTGTACCCTTTCTCTCCCCCAAGCTTTCAACCCTGAACCCTAAACCCTAAGAACCCTAAACCCTCCACCCTGGTTCTCCGTAACTATTGGGGCTTCAGGTTTCAGGTTTACACTTCAAGAAATGCAGGCGTGGAGCCTTATCCGGAGTCTGCTGCGGAGACCTTTGCGGAAGCCGGGGCCCCATCTTTCGTTTTTGCCCCGAATAAATATCAGGTGGGGGGTTATAGAGTTCAGGGTTTGGGGTATAAGTCCCTGGATGCGGGATGTTATTTATAAGGTTGGAAGAAGGAGATCTAATGGTTACAAGCTTCTGTTCCATTACCCCTATATAACCATATATCTCCCCATATAATCCCACGCAACGCTTCCTGTAGTGCTTTTTGGGTCCTAAGATTTGGAGGAACACGAGTTGGGCTTCAGAGGGCACCGGGTGTCTGCGCTTCAATGGCTGTTCGGGGTGTAGGGTAGGGTTTAGGGTTCAGGGTTCAGGGTTTAGGGTAGGGTTTAGAGGCTCTCAATGGTTTAGGGTTTCAGGGTGCTCGAGGCTGCCAGGGAATGTCCACCAAAATAATCAGCCCCAAACCCTAAACTCTACGGTGAGCTTCCCAGAATAATTGTGCTAGGATTATGAACATCCTGTAGAAGCCACTACTACTGTGCCCCATGTTGCTTTGTAAGGGGTCAGCATGCAGCCTAAAATCCTGAAGATGATATGGCCTCCTTAGGAAACTTGCTTAGGGGTTCATGGGTAGTTGTGGAAGTACCCAATAGATGGAGTTTCAAGCGGTGGGTCTAAGCATGATTGTTCAATGCTTTAGGGTTTAGGTTTAGGTTTCCCAAAATCAGGATCCCTTTTTGGTACCCCTGAATATTCGGTGCTGCAATGTCATCCCCAAATAAAAGGGGCTCCTAGCTTCAAGAACCAGCCGTATCTTTCAGGTCCCCAGTTTAGAGGACGGGTTTAGGGTTTAGGGTTTAGGTCCCCAGTTTGGGATAGCCTCGGTACAGGATCCAGGTTGCAATAAGAGGGGAAAGCAAGAACTTGACTGCCATGTGGGTTTCAAACCAAGTCAGCCCAGATGTCGAAAGGAACTGGAAGCATTCTCTCCCAAGCCAAGTAGCGGTTTAGGGCTTAGGGTCCTCCAAAGGACGGAAGTCTTGAAAAGGAACTTTCATACTCCATGTTGGTGGCTCCTAAGGACTTAGCTAGGACCTTAGGCCCTTAACGCATTGGGATTCCCTTATACTCCTAGTATGGGTACCTACAAGGGTTAGCCCTTACTGGGGGTCCTAAGTACCCTGAACCCTAAACCCTATATAATCCCTATATATCCCTATAACATAGTAGTTTCCATTTTCTCGTCTATATTGAACCCTAAACCCTATATAATCCCTATATATCCCTATAATATAGTAGTTTCCATTTTCTCGTCCATGAACCCTTCATGGGGGTCCTAATTGGCACGAAACCTGGCTCAGAGGGATTAGCATAGGCGGGGTACGAGGAGAGCCCATGAAACCTGGAGCCCAGCTTTGAGGACCCTAAAGCCTAAACCCTGATCCGTACTATTTCCACCTAAAGCCGGCGCATGCCAACCACAAATGAGAGAGTCCTAATCTCAAGGACTGAACCCTAAATCCTGTAATCCCTATATTAAAATGGAAACTACCATACTATAGGGTTCTATAGGCTTGTAGCTTATATAACCCTATAATATGGTAGTTTCCATTTTCTTTGGATTATCCGAATATATCCCAATTATCACTCCCATATAACCCCTAAGGGACCTAATCCCTTTAAAAGGGGGCCATAATTGAGGCCTTCTGTTCATGGAAACTTTGAAGCTGAGTTGCAAACACAGGCGTTTAGGGTTTAGGTTTACCCTAAGCCATGACACCTAAAACCTGCGACACGTACATGCCAAAGTAGCTTCAAAGCCCCTAGATCCTGAACCTCTACGATAGAAGCCAGAAAGACCAGTATCCCTCACCCCTAAGATCTCAGAGGGAAACTAGCATACATGGAATTCTGTCTTGGATACTGCCGCAGTTATTAACAGCTGGATACTATGTATAATATAACTCTGTAGAGCCGTCACTATGACCCGTATCATAGACTGTTAATGGGTGGGGGGAGGACCCAACCTAAACCCTAAACCCCAAATAGTAGCTTGCATTTTCTTTTCCATTATACCTATATACCTCCCATTATATACCCTAAACCCTACGTTTTGGCTTTTACTGTAAACTCATCAAGGATCCAGAGAAGGAGGGCGCCACGCTCTCTCCAGAGGACGGTTCAACTCCCAAAGTAGAACCCCGAAAAATCGGGTTTAGGGGTTTAGGTTTAGGGTTTATTATAATCCTTGTGATAGGGACCCCTCATTTTGGGAAACCTCCCTACCCTAAACCCTAAGGGTTTAGGGCTCTAGGATTCTAAGGTGGAGGGGGGGTTCTGTGCATGTTCTGTTGCTTTCTTGGGTGCAAAGTCTTCCCAAGGATCTAAAGCCCGAATCCCTTTGTATAGTATGGGGAATTATGTAGTCTTCTGGGATGAGATCTTCTATGAGTTTTACCAGGGTCATCCACCCAGGGGCCAGCCGGGATGGATTCTTCTACTAGTCCCACCGCAATCACCACAGTATATATATATATTGGGGATAATGGAAACGAAAATGGATGGAAACTACAATCACCACAAATGGAAGAGTTTGTGTTTATGCTCCGTTCAGTACCTTCATGCCCTAAGAACCACCAGCAAGTATGCCCTAAAACGCCTCACGCTATCTAAAAGTTTAGCAAACGAAATCCCTTTGGCAATTTCCCAAAATAAGGTAATCCCAGAAAAGACCCCAAAATACTATAGTCCTTATTATGTGGGCCCCTAAAATGGTACCCCTAATTTTGGGAAACCCCCTTTGCAATTGTCAGGAAGTTATTGACTTGGCGGATGTTGAGCTGAGCAGCCGTGATGTTGAGGTCAGAATCGGGTCGAGGGTGGGGGCGGCAGTTTACAGTTTAGGGATCAGAGAGCTGGACTATGGGATTTTGAGTTTAGCTTGTCATGGGAGTCTGAAAAGTATACAAGGGCTTCTGGGGGAGGGGGTGGACATCAACGAATGCTTGTATCGGAAGCGTAAGTTTCTATTAGATTACCTCAGACTTCTATAAACAGAATTTGATTAGAAGCCATGGTCGCCAGAGCTGTTGACACATCTAGCGCAGCGTGAGAACTCCAATTTACCCGGTTCCGTTTCGGGTGCCAGGGTTAATGGCCATGAAGGAAGGGGCCCATCCGAATATCGGACTGCCGTTTGGTAAGGACAGCGAACTTGGGCTAGCGTTCCTACAGTAGTCCTCACCCAGTTCCCTCATCACGCTTTCCCGTGCCTTCGCTCCATGCTAGCAACCAAAAAGTTCTTCGGTAGGGATTTAGGCTTTAGGAGCCTAAGCTTTGCAACATCCACCAACAGGGTTATTCTGAAAAAACATGGGCCCTTTTTGGCTGAAGATTCTATTTCGGCACCTCATATTTAGGGGTACCGAAATGCGATCCTAATTTTGGGAACTACCCAAAAGCTGGCAAATCCCAAGATGCCGAAACCTTGACCCTGATGCTCTGCAAGCAAAAGTCAACAATCTCCACCTCAAACCCTGAACCCCCTTAGCCTCCTTAACCCTGAACCGCCTTAACCCCCTATACCCCCTAAACCCTGAACTGCGTGGCTCAGGTCCTAGGAGGGCCGTTCAGAATCTTGCACAATCTTTCAGAACATCCCAATAGCCACCGTTTAGATTTCATTCCTGGTGGAAGGTCATACGAAAATGGGTATTCCATAAATAGGGGTGCCACTGTTGATCCAAATATCTTCTATAATATAGTATAGAAAGATATAGTACAGTATAATACAAGATAGTATGGTATAGTATTATTCCTTAGGATGATGACTCCCAAAAATGGACCCAACCCAATGAGTTGGAAAAACCCCAGTTGTGGTCCTAAAGTTTTGTCCACGAAGCACTTGGCCTCTGCGACCTCAAGCCCTAAACTTCAAACCCTAGGGTTTAGGGTTTTAGTGTTTAGGGCCAGGACTCCAAGTAGCCCAAATACAGGTTATGGTTACAGATTTATATTGTACAAAGTGGTCATGCTTTATGGACTTGGCGCAGCCCTACGCCCGCAATATCCTTATAATCCATGGTATAATCGTGGGATGTAGCCGGCGTTAGCACATCCTTGCAAGATGTTACAGTACCGCCAGCAAGGAATAAGACTCCATAAGAGCCCCTAGAAGTGCTTATGCAAACACGAATCAAGGAGCAACCTTTTCTCTGAGAATTCAGTGTGCCGTTGTATACACCCCGGTACATGACCCATCTTAAAGGATCTACTGACCCTGAGCCCTAAGCCCCAACACCCCAGATGCTGGCTCCATGACAACCTTCAACATTCACTCGGCCGAAATGAACATGGAACCGCTATTGGGGGCTGTCAGAGTTGTGGTTTAGAGGGCCTGCGGTTCCAACCGAAATCCTAAGCCCTGAAGCGGTCAACGCCAAACCAGAATTCAAACACCCTTCCTCAAGTCCTAAACCCTAACAACCCCCCTGAAGGTTTAAGGTTTAGGGTTTAGGGAAAACCCCTTTGAAGTCCTAAACCCTAAACCCGACCCCGCTTCAGCATCAGGTTGCCGAGCTCAAGCTGGCCACCTTTAGCCACAGCCCTGGGACGATTGGCGGGGTTGGGGTGAAAAAACTCCGTGGCTTAGGATTCAGGATACGTAAGTTATGGTCCCTTCTTGGATCCCTATTATAATACGGCCCCTAATATTTAGGGTACCCAAAAAGGGACCATAATTTTGACAACCAGCCATATATATTGTGCTTTTCACGTAGAGTTTCAGCCGAAGCCGTGCGGTTGGCGCGGACCGTTTGGACCTCAGATGCCGCATTCGCACTCGCATTCGCTTTTATATATATATATATGCAGTCATACTCTATATATATATGTATATTTAGACAGAAGGGCCAACAATTGGATTTAACGAGCTTGTTAGTTCAGGGGCTTAGGGCCCTGAATAATTCTTTAGGGCTTTAGAGCGTAGGCAGCTTGCATAATCAAGAACCAAATCCAGAAAAGGTGGAACATCAAATTGAATGGAGACTGGCCCTATATTAGGGTTTTTATAGGATTTAGGGACCCTAAACCCTAAACGGTTTATGTAAGGGTTATAGTGTTGGGGCTGAGGTTTAGGGCTTAGGGTTCAGGGTTTAGGGTTTCGGGTTTAGGGTTTGAGGTTTGGGGTTTAGGGTAACACTAATAAACCTCAGAATGATATAGGTGATTGTTGAGGCCCCTGCAGACGAGTATTCGCGGTAGCAGGAGTGGAAGTGGTAGTATTCGTAGTAGAGAAGCAATAGCTCCACAAAGTCCCCACAAAAAGCTTTGCAAATATTGGCTACTTTCTGTCCATTAGGGGTGGCAAGAAGCTGTTGGCCGGTGGCGGTGCTGGAGCGCTTTAAGCCTTAACTTTTGAATCCCCAAGCCCTGAACCCACCAGAGCCCAAGGAAAACCTGACACACTAATCAAGTCATGGACTTAAACCCTACACCCCAAGCCCTACACAATAAACCCCGAACCGTACAAATTAAAATGTGCAGCGAGGCCGTGAACGGCAGCAGGGAGTCGACAAAGTCGAGCAGGCAGGGGCGCTGAATCAACCTTAGGCCCCAAGCCTTAGTCCTGAAGACCTAAACCCTAATCCCTAAACCCTGAAGAATGCCTAGCAAGCTTAAAGTTTCGGAGTATATAACCCCCTGTAACCCCATTTAACCCCATATGACCCCATATAACCCTATATGACCTTATATAACCCTATATGACCCTAGTGCCCAACCTGAAACCCTACAGCTCTTGGAGCCCTCAATAGACCAGGGGTTTGGGGTGTAGGGGTTCAGATCGAAACCCTAAACCCACGGCGTAGGCTTCAGGGTTTAGAGCTTAGGTTTAGGGCCCGGGGTTTAGGGTTTAGTGCTTAGGATTCGGGTTTTAGGGGTTTGGGTTTCGGGTTTCGGGTTTGCTTCAACGTTAAGGCTTAGATTAAAGAAGGGTGAGACATTCGGTCTTTGTTGTAGGTTGTAAGGGGCAGCCCCAAAAAAACTTTTCATTTTATATCTAGTGTGTGCATATCTACATATGCGCTATAATTAGTGGTTTATATACTCCTCTATAGAGGCCCCCTGTTTAGATTTTAATAGCTCATATGCATGTGTACGTACAATATGCGCATATGAGTCCTTGAGGGTTACCCCTTCCTTTGTTCACTTTACTCCTTAAACCCCAATCCCTCAACCTTGAAGCCAAACCCTTATCAACAAGCCTTTTGTGGTACTCTAAACCCTAAACGGTATATGAGCTATAGTCTAAACTCCTAGTATCCCCCTCAATAACCCCTATAGTAGTCCCCTATATAGTCCCCTATATAACCCTTTTAAAGCAGTTTAGACTATAGTACATATGGCTTCATGAGCCGGAGATTCCCGAGACAATAGCCCATGAACCTTGGCCTTGAAGCTTCGAACAAGTCCCCAAACCCGAACCCCGAGAGCACAAGGGTTTAGGGGTTTGGGTTTAGGGTTTAGGGTCTAGGGTTTAGGGTTTAGGGTTTAGGGTCTAGGGTTTAGGGTTTAGGGTTTGCGCCCAAGACTGAAGTCCCAAACCCTACACACTGTACACAAACCATGAATCATATAACCCTCAGACCCTAAACACTACTATTAGGGTCCTAAATACCAGCACGCATTTTCCGGCTTCTGCATCACACCCTACGCCCCGACACTAGCGGGGCTGCTGTCCAGGATGATAGGGTTTTCATATTACGGCAAGCCGAAACCCTGAATGCTAAACCCTACCTCCTTAAGCCTTCATTTAAAGTGTGCTAAGCAACGTCCAAATCCAGGCTCTGGATTCCATGCTTCAAAGGCTTGCCGCCCTGGAGGACTCTGGAACCGAACTTTGCTCGCTTCCTAGCTTATTCTCATGGGTATTCTGGGTTGATAGCCGTATGTCTAGGGTTTAAGGGTTAAGGGCGCATGGTTTCAACCGTGGAGCATGAGGATTAGGGTTTAGGGTTCATTACCATCACTTGTCAGAACCCCTAGCAATGGTAAGTTTATATAGGCTTGAGGGGTTTAAGGCGTAGGATTACTGTAGCAGTCTCTACACAGGGGACTCCCGCATGAGCATGATGAGGCATCTCTCAAAACAGTGGTTTTGGCTTCTCAATTTGGAGGGCACCTTGCCAACCCTAGGGGGCCAAGGTAATTGCAAAGGGATTATGGAGGTGGTAATGGGAGCGCATTGGTGATGAATATCATGTTGAACTTTACGTAGGCCAGAACCCTAAGCCCCAAACTCTAAACTCCAAACCCTAAACTCTAAACCCTAATCCTAAGGCTCCCACAAACCCCAAACTTTAAACCCTAAACCTCAACCTCCATACCCCAAACTCTAAACCCTAAACCTCCAGACCCCAAACTGAAAAAACAAACTCTAAACACCAAACCCCCAACACCTCCTAAAGCTGATCCTTTTGAATTGTACCTTTGCCATATTCAAGGGGTTTAGGGTTTAGGGTTGGTGGACTTAAGAACTAGGTTGACAATGAGGGGTGATAATTGGATTTAGTATGCGTGTGATTGGGGTTGTAAGTATAATTTCTCAGTCTCCCTGATCCTTCAAGCCCTAAGCCCTACACCGCATGGTCTTCGCAGCAACAGCCCATCGGCCAGGACTTGGACGACACGCTGTCAGGCCACTGTGTCATACACATGGCTTAGGTTTCAGGGTTGCCCGAAGCCCTAGGGTTTAGGCTTTAGGGCTTAGGTAGTTTTTGGCCCCATAAGCACTATTGTCCTTTGGGTTTAGGCGTTTAGGGCTTATCTTGTAAGGCTTAGGTACCGAAAACCGTGAACCCGTAGCCTTGAGCTTATGTATCCTTCAAGGGCACGCTACTTAGACGAAGTATCTTGCGGCTAGCTATGAGTAGGGCTGAGAGCGGCCTACAGTACCAAGAAAGGGCTCCTTCAAACAGAGGTGTCCTAAGATGGTATACCAATTCTGGGTCGCTGTACTTGGGCGCCTCTGTGCTGCGCACACTACGGGCTATTCCTAAAATTCCCTATTAGGGCCCTATAAAGGGTAGATTGAGGTACCCTTAAGGTCTAGTAGCCCATAGTGGTACCCATGAATGTACTTGATAAAGGGATCGGGAGCCCTATAGAATCCCAAGGTCTTCGGGGCTTCTTCTTACCAACCCTAAGGGTCCAAGGACCCAAATTATAGGGTTTTAGGGCCCAAATACTATGATATGAATGGTATTTGGGCCCTAAACCCTATTATTTGGGTCCTTGGACCCCTAGGGTAAGCCCCCAGAGCTACCAACCCAGTCTTCATTCACCGGGGTTTGCGTCGAGCGTCGACATGGACCCAAAACGGTTTTTTCTCTGACGGCCTATTTGCGTTTTAGGGTTCCTGGGTTCTTGGGTTCATCGTATATTGGCTACCCACTGCTGGAAAAGATGTCCCTTTTGCCCCCAGGTTACTGCTCTTGTGGCGTACGGGCATGCTTCAGCTGCTATCTAACCCTGCAAAAAATCGGATTCTAGCCCATTTCTATACTTACAAAGATACTGAGAATGGTAGTAAGAATAATAGGTCTAAGAAAAGCAATAATTTAGGAGGACCCCCCACTCAATAATAGCGGTATACCAGCAAGATAAGAGGCCCCGAATATTATTGTCCCTGAAATCACTCATTCTGCGGGGGGCGAGGGTCCACCTAGGCAATAATAGTAGTAGACAACTGGACCCGAAGCCTGAACTTGACTGCATCATTTAGGCTGAGCATCTATGCCTGAGTGTGATCACCAACAATGCGTTTAGGGTAGCCAGAAAATGGAACGCCCAAAACGGATCCTGGAGATACACTAACACTCACTGGGGCTTAGTAGAAATATGTGAAGGATTATATTCCCTTGTTCCCTACTACGCACCAGTACAGGCTTCCCCCACTTTGCGGATTCGACATTGAAAGCTCCTCCAAGAGACATGAAAGGAAGACAAGGAGCTGTCAAGCCTAACGGAAGCCCATAGGATTTACGGCTTACAGCGTAGATTCTCGGGCCGCAGGTGAAATAAGAGGGGTACTCCCCTACCTGCTACCTGTCCCAAAATATCATCAAGGCACTTCCCAAAAGAACGCCTGGTCTTGTGTTAGTCCCACATCTAAATCAGCTCTTAGAAGCCCGATGCGAGGCCAGCGAGTGTGGGTGCAGGAAGGAAGTAATCGCCTACTCCGCGTGCTGAAGAAGCTACACTGAGCAGGCAGTTTCCAAAAATCGGGGGGCCCAAGTCAACCCAAAACAGTAACGTTAAACCCTGAACCCTAAAACCTAGCCTTTAGGGTTTAGGCTTTGCCCAAAAAACACCAAACCCTACACCCTGAATCCTACACTGTAAAATTCTAAACCCTAACCGCCAACCCTAAACCCTAAACCCAAATTGAAATCTAAACCCTAAGCGGTAGAAAGACTCCAAGGCTTGAGATCCCTCGGTTTTTGGAATCTCCGGGCGCGGCCCTGGCAGCCAAAATGAGCGCACCCTTCAGGGCTGGTTCCAAAGAAAGGGAAGCGGTTTAGGGGTTGAGGGTTTAGGGTTTAAGGTTGAGGGTTTAGGATTTAAGGGTTTGGAAACTACTGTAATATATAGGGGTTATAATAGGGTATATATTGGGGTTCTATAGGGATAGTGGAAAAGAAAATGGAAACTACTGTAATATATGGGGGTTATAATAGGCTGGTTCCAAAGAAAGAGAATACGTAGTGTTTAGGGAGCCATGCCCTTCCAGTTCTGCGCCATGGACAGTTTTAAGATTCATTCGGGCGCGCCTAGGCACGGTTAATACACAAGGCACACAGGTGTACACTATATGTATATGCATATTTTTCTATAAAGGTATAGACTACTCTCAATAATGGAGAACCAAATGGAAAAGACATGGACAATCAAAGGGAATCTTGGAACCTTGGGGGTTATCTAACATAATATGGATTGTAGTATATTGGGCGAAAGTTACGATACTACGATATAGGTGTACCAGATGTATAGGGAGGTGAGGGAGGGAGAGAGAGAGAGAGAGACCTTGGTTCAATTAGCATTTAGGATTTGGGGTAGAGTGACCATAGACCCTAAGCCCCTTTAAGCCCCTAAAGCCTCAACCTAAACCAAAGCAAGGCTTCTCTGGTTTCTTGTTGCAGGTAGTATAATATAGTCTAAATCCGTAAAGGGGCTATATATCGGGGATTATATAGAGGAATTTTATACGGCTTACTACGGGGGATGCTAGGAGTTTAGACCCTAAACCCTAAACCCACACCCTAAACCCCATGATAAGGCTTATCAGGGGGCAGACTAGGAGTTTAGACTCTGGGATACTAGGGGTGTAGACCATTGCTCACATGAAGTTTTCTGGGATCAGAGGCTGCAGTTGCGAATACTGCTTGCCGTCCCTAAGGTTGTGAAGGTCACGTAGCTAGGGCATTCACCCTAAACCTAAACCCCCTAAAGCCTTAAACTCAAAACCCTATTCAATAGTGCGTGCACGGGGAGGCTGCACGCATTAGATAGCAATGCAGAGCGAGAAGAGGGTTCCCCATTTAGTAGTTTCCATGAATAAGGATTATATAGGGGATTACTATATTACTATAGAGGTTATTAAGGGGGATAATAGGACTTAAGATCAATTATGGCTCATATTGTTTAGGGCTTAGGGATCCCTCATTTTAGGAATTCCCAGTGGAGACGATTGAAGGCCCCTGAGGGTTTAAGGTTTCGGGTTTTTACGGCTGCCATGCG